CCTTTCCTTTTCCTTCCCTTTATGTGCAGCAGATTTCTTCCTTGTGATTCTGTGTTCACTCTTATGAGGCATCCTGAACTCTGAATGGAGATTTTATCTTCTGCCTTCCTAAAGTACTACTGGCAGCCATGGGAAGTTCAAGGGAGCCTCGATGATCCTGAGGAGAAATGATACAGAGGATGTAGTTCAGGTTTAGATTTTAAGTTCCATGAAGATAGACCATCATTTCTTATCTGGTTTATTTTATCATTCCCAGGGTTCATTAAAGTAACTTGCATGCCTCAAAATCCTTATAATTGCCAAGTTATACTGAAGCGAAAGTATTTTCAAAGTCTTCTCTGTTTATGAATCTGAGCAATTTTTCATAAAACATAAGTGGAAAATCTTCATTAAAATATCATTCAACTTCTTTTGTCTTTTTCTGATAACTCTAACAGTTGTTTTGCATTTGGTCTGTTTCTGCTGGTGGTCCCTCTGTCTCACCCCTAATGCCCTGTAAATATTATATCTGGATAATGTGCTTGTGTTTGCTTTTGTTTGTATGCTGACACTGGAAATTTATCTGCATTTTGGTTTCTCTTATAAAGAGTATTGAATTATTTTCTTGGAGGTAATTAATTTACTTCAGAAGCATTCAATTCTTTGGGGGTTTGTTGGTAAATTTTATTAAGAGAACTCTGGGATAGTCCTGTTCTGAGATTAGCATAGTTCTGCTTTACAGAAGCTTTTCAAGGGCCCATTTGATGTGTTCATTGTTATTCAGTTTTCTGGCTACCTATACTGCTCAGGTCTTGGTGTCTCTACTCAGGTCTCAGCTTCATGAAGATCCTCAAGACTGACTTGGGTTTCCTGTACACTAGGAAAAGCCTCACAGGAAAACATTTAAGAAGTTTGTTTGGCTTGAAGTTTCACTTCCTCATGGAACTGTCTGTTCTAGCTCCTCCGATCACCAGTTGAGTTGTTCCATACATATTAGTCGCTGACACTAGCAAAACTCATCCAGAATACACTGTGGACTATGGGCCACATATCAGAATTCTTTTATTCTGAGTTAAGAGTAAGCTAGACTACATTGGAAGTCCCCACAAACTGCACATGTACATTTTAAAATTTAGTACTGGGTCCAGGAATAAAGTGATTGTTAAACAGTACGACCCTCTCCTACATTGTCATCAAATTCCTAAGTCATGTGTTCCCTACAAGATCATACAGAATGGATGGGTAAAAACTAACTACAAAATCTGTCTAGTTAATCACTATGATTAAAAAAAAAAAACCCTTACTCTGCTTATGAGACACACACATATGCATGTAACATGTGTATGAACACACAGGTTATAAAGAAAAACGTTTTACTTCATGCTAACACTTTACATATAATAATTTCTTAACTTGAGTACTCTGTTTAGTTTCTCATTTATAATTCAGATTAAAATGTATCTTCCTCAAGGCATTTCTAGATTATTTATAGACATACACAAAGATGCTTTTTCCTAATGGCATGTGCTTCAGGAGAGGGAACAGGGGCTTAGACACAAGTTACAGGAGTTTGAGTCAGGATGTCCTACCTTTTCTTACTCTAGACATCAATATTCTCATTTGTTATATAATGACATTTATTTAACATTTATTTCATAAGATTTAAATCAGGTAATATTAAGTATATACTTGTTCTAAAATAAAAATTGCCTAGAAACATTTTTCATGAAAATATCACGCAAAGGCAAATATAGCTTACGTGGACTGCTATAATCTGAGCTTCTTCTTTTGCCAATTGTTTTCTGCTTCAGTCCTTCCCCAAAGTATTCCATTTGCATCCCCAGGCTCAGTCTGGTGGTTGGCTGTATCTTGATCTGTATTGGTCAGGTGATGGCAGAACTTCTTAGGGGACAGCTATACCAGGCTGCTGTCAGCAAGAGCTGCTTGGCATCACCAAGAGTGTCTGGGTTTGGTGTCTGCAGGTGAAATGGATCCTGAAGTGGGCCAGTCTCTGGATGGCCTTTCCTTCAGCCTCTGATCCATTTTTTGTCACTGCATTTCCTTTAGATAGTAACAATTCTGGGTTAAAATTTTTGAGAAGAACCCATCACTCAACTGGAGGCCATGCCTCTCTACTGGAGATGATCTCTACAGGTTCTCTCTCCCCTTTGTTGTGTATTGTCATCCCTGTCGGGTCCTGGGAACCTCTTGCTTCCCTGGTATCTGGGACTTTCTACTGGCTAGCCCCAGTTCCCCATCTACCACTGCTACATATTTCTGTTTAATTTCCTGACCCTCTGTATTTTTCTCCTGTTTCTTGCCACACCTGATCCTGCCCCAACTTTTTCCCTTCCCCTCCTGTATCCTTCCCAGGTCCCTCCCTCTATCTTCTGTGATTATTTTGTTCCCTCTTCTAAGTTGGATTGAAGCATCCACACTTTGGTCTTCCTTTTTCTTAAGCTTCGTATAGTCTGTGAGTTGTATTGTGGGTATTCTTAGCTTTGGAGGTAAGTGAGTACTTATCAGTGAGTACATGCCGTGTGTGTTCTTTTGTGTCTGAGTTACCTCACTCAGAATATTTTCTAGTTCCATACATTTGCTTAACAATTTTATGAAGTCATTGTTTTTAATAGCTGAGTAGTATTACATTGTGTAAATGTACCATATTTTCTGTATCTATTCTTCCAGTGAGGGACATCTGGGTTGTTTCTAGCTTCTGGCTATTACAAATAAGGCTATGATCAACATAGCAGAGAAAGTGTCCTTGTTATATGTTGGAACATCTTTTGGGCTTATACACAGAAGTGGTATAGCTGGGTTTTCAGGTAGAACTATTTTCAATTTTCTAAAGAACCACCAGATTGATTTCCAGTGTGATAGTACCAGCTTTCAACTCTACCAGCAATGGAAAAGTGTTCTTCTTTCTCCACATCCTTGCCAGCATCTGCTGTCACTTGAGTTTTTTATCTGAGCCATTCTGACTCATGTGAGGTGGAATCTCAAGGTCATTTTAATTTGCATTTCCCTGATGACTAAGGTCATTGAACATTTTTCTAGTTGTTTCTCACTCATTTGAGACTCCTCAGTTGAGAATTTTTTGTTTAGCTCTGCACTCCATTATTAATAGAGTTATTTGGTTCTCTGATGTCAAATTTCTTGAGTTTTTGTATACACTGGATATTAGCCCTCTATCAGATGCAGAGATTTTAAATATCTTTTCCCATTTGTAAGTTGCATTTTATCCTATTGACAGTGTCCTTTGCCTTACAGAAGCTTTGTAATTTTATGAGGTCCCATTTGTCTGTTGTTCTTAGAGCATAAGCCATTGATGCTCTGTTCAGAAATTTTTCCCCTGTGCCTATGGGTTCAAGGCTCTTTTTCACTTTCTCATCTACTAGATTCAGTGTATCTGCTTTTATATGCAGGTCTTTGGTCCACTTGGACTTCAGTTTTGTACAAGAAGATAAGAATGGATCAATTTCTATTCTTCTGCATGTTGACCACCAGTTGAACCAGTACCATTTTTTGAAAATGCTGTCTTTTTTCACTGGTTGGTTTCAGCTTCTTTGTCAAAATCAGTGGAGTGTAGGTGTGTGCGTTCATTTCTGGGTCTTCAATTCTATTCCATTTATCTACCTGCTTGCCTCTGTACCAATACCATGCACTTTTTTTTTTTTTATCACTCTTGGTCTGTAGTACAGCTTGAGGTCAGGGATGGTGATTTTCCCAGAAATTCTCTTATTGTTGAAAATAGTTTCACTATCCTTGGTTTAATGTTATTCCAGATGAATTTGAGAATTGTTCTTTCTATCTCTGTGAAGAATTGATTTAGAATTTTGGTGGGGATTACATTTGAATCTGTAGATTGCTTTTGGTAAGATGGCCATTTTTACTATGTTAATCCTGCTGATCCATGAACATGGGAGATCTTTCTATCTTCTGAGGTTCTTGATCAAATATTTTATTACAGAGTCTCTAAAAGGAAAAATTAGGCAGTTAATGGTTTTAGTGAATCAAGTGAATATTATGTATTTATACAAACAATCCTTATAGGTCTTGTGCTGTATATGTACACATATGTGTTTGAAACATGAAACAAGCAATTCATTCTTGAATAAGAATTTGATCTTGAGACGATGAAGAGATTGTAAATTTGACTTACCTCCTGTTACTTCATAGTCAAACTATGTACAGCCATCTTGCCTCCACAGTTTGTAGACCACCTTAACTTTCAGCTGTGTTTGATGTTTGCTATAGATCTAAATTATTTTAAGGCCAAATATTTACCAAGTTATACAAAATATTCTGTAATATATTTGTGATGGATATGGCATTAGTCCAAGTGCTAGCTGATTTGTGCACTTTTACTTTTTTTATTTTAACTGACTTAGTAGTTTTTGATAGTGTGTGTGACTGAGGCTAGCACTGAACTCTATGTTGTTAAGGACGACTTTGACCTCCTGAACTTCCTGCCTTGCTTTCTGAATACAGATGTGTGGCACCGTACTCCATCTAGCTTATGCAGTGCTTGCCTGTGGTTTTACACATGGTTCTGTGCATCCTAGAAAGCACTCTGCCAAGTTACATTGCTAGCACTAAACCAAGTACTTTTAATTAAACAATAATAATTTTACTGATTTATCTACAAACATTATCATGAACAGGATTAATAATAGCATCCCTTTAAGACCTATATTTAATGAGAATTAAGGTTCTTCCCCTAGAGGCTTTGCAAGTGAGGTTTCAGTGTCACATGTACTTTAGTAGGTAGCAGAGAGGAGAGAGACCATGCCTATGTTCAGTGCTCTGACCTGTGAACATCTGAATGGTTAGTAGTCTAACATTTCCTGAAAAAAAAGTGAGCCTGAGATGACCATCAGTTGCAAGATGGAGACTAGAAGAACTCTGCGCCTCACCCCTCACCTGAGCATCCTGGTAGATCTGGCCCTGGGGGGATGAGAGCAGGGTAACTGGCTCTATCCCTCATCAGCTGCAGCACTTAGGAGAATGAGTACTGCACCTCACCAAGGCAGCACCAAACTGGCTCTGGATGTGGAGGTTGCAAGTGAGCCATCCCTGAAGGCATGAGATACAGAGAGTCAGTGGGCTGAGCAGCTCACACAGTTCTCAGGCCCAGATCCAGGGCTTTGAGTTCGCCTACCTCAATATCTACCACATCAATGAACTGCTGGAGAGCATGAAGGAGCTGGTCCTCCAGATCTAAAACTACAGGACCTCCATGGCAAGGGCAACAACAGGTATCCAAGGAGTCCCAGTGAGTTTCCAGTCTTGAGAGAGATAGCAGAAGGCAGATGCCCAGTACCAGATCAGTGACTCATTGCAATGAATATTTGCAATCACAGAAGTGTGGACAAAAGGGAATCCTGTGGGACACAATGGGACACACTACACTTTCCACAATGAGATTTTTTTTTCCTCTGTTGAGGATGCAAGGATGGAGGGCAGGTATGAGGAGAAGGAGAAATGAATAGGGTGCATGATGTGAAATTCACAAGCAACCAATAAAATGAGAAGGAGAGAGAGAAGAAGAAGAAGAAGAAGAAGAAGAAGAAGAAGAAGAAGAGAGAGAGAGAGAGAGAGAGAGAGAGAGAGAGAGAGAGAGAGAGAGAGAGAGAGAGATATTAGGGTGATTACATTTGGATGACCTCAGGGCTAAGTCAAATAAATCCTCAGTCTTGGTAGGCTACAGTGGGGCCTGGTCTCCTGGATTGTTGGTTGATGACTAGGATTCTATATATGTTCATGTTTGTCTATCTTAGTAGCTCAGTTCTAGTTCCACTGGGAATTAGGCCTTCAGAGCATCCCAGCTGCATCTATGTGGGAAAGAAAAGGACTTGAAATGGAAGCCTAATCATCTAAGGCTCTGTCTCCAAGCTGCACTCTGAGGCACAGAGGTCAGGGCTTCTTCATGTGAGCAGTAGGTAATAGATAACAGGGCAGATTATCTGTCTGGACAATTCCAGATCTTCATGGTTGTATGGCTTCAGCCAGGATGCCAGATTTCTCACTTGTAACATACATAAAATATTCATTTTTACTGCAAAGGGCTGATGTAAGCTTTGATGAGTCCACGCACATAAAATGCTTAAAACAGGCTTGGCACACTAAATGCACTGAATAAATCATTACTGCTCTATTTCCCTTTCCATATTGCATGCAGTTATGTTTCTCCATGGTCTACCTTGTTCCCCTGACTGCTCTGCTTCTGTTATATGGACTGAATTGTGCAATGAAAATCACGTCCTGACCTTCTGGGAACTATGTGTACATTAGCTAATGTTTAAGAGCATGGGCACAGATGTAGATAAGACATTGTAAGGGTCCACAATTCACTGAAGAATGACACCCCAGACTCAAATAGTATGTAATCACAGAGTGTTTTATTCTGCAGAAGTCCAGTATGCTGGATACTCACATTACCAAGATAGAGAGACACCCAAGTGAGCTTGCAGACTCGATTTTTGGACATTAGTGAATTCTGGGGTAGGTGACCTCTATGTTATTCATTGGGTCCATTTCTATAGACATTCCATTACTAGGGTGTGGGGGCTGGAAACTTGCTGAGGAGGTCTGGGAACTGATATTGAGGAAGTAGCTGAGGAAAAATGTATACTGCTGCAGACCCATTGTCCTTGCCTCAGGCCAGGTGGCAGGGTAACCTCTAAAGCCTGCACTTGCCTAGAATTGCCCAATTCTTAAAAACAGAGATTTAGGCCTAGTATCCTTAACTGTCATTTGGAAGTCTCTCACGGAACTAGCATACCCTTCTCAACATAGTAGAAGACTATCATTCCTGTAGTGAGGTCATATCTATGTCTTGTCAATAACAATCATTTACATACTAACAGCATGAAAAGTGAACATATTAATCACCGCAATCATTTCAAGTAGAATACAAAGGTTTCTTTTGGGGGGAATATTTTTACTTATTTATTTTTGGATGATTTATTTACATTTCATATGTTATCCCCTTACCCCATCCCCCACCCACCCAGGAACCCCCTATCCCCTCACCCCCTCCTCCTGCTTCTCTGTCGATGTACCCCAACCTACCCACCCCATTCCCACCTCCCCACCCTCCAATTCCCACCCCCTGGGGCTTCTAGCCTTCATGAGACCAAGGATCTCTTCTCCCACCTATGCCCTACAGGGCCATCCTCACTTACATATACAGCTGAAGCCATGGATCCCTCCCTAAGTTCTCCCAGGCTGGTGGTTTAGACCCTGGGAGCTCTGGTTGGTTGGTATTGTTGCTCTCCTCATAGGACCACAAACCCTTTCAGCTCTTACAGTCTTCTCTCTCATTCCTCCATCGGGAACCCCATTATCAGTTCAATGGCTAGTTGTGAGCATCTGCCTCTGAATATGTCAGACTCTTGCAGACCTCTGAGCAGACATCTATATCAGGCTCTTATCAGCATGCACTTCCTGACTTCCACATCAGCATCTGACTTTGGTGACTGCACATGGGATGTATACTCAGGTGGAATGGTCTTCAGATGGCCCCTCCTTCAGTTTCTGTCCCTCACTTTGTCTCCATATTTGCTCCCTTGAGTATTTTATTGCTCCTTCTAAGAAGGACCGAATCACCCCCACTTGGTCTTCCTTCTTCATGAGCTTCATGTGGCCTGTGAGTTGAATCTTGGGCATTTCAAGGTACTGGGGTAATATCCAATAATCAGTGAGTGAATACCATATGTGTTCTTTTGTGATTGGCTTACCTCACTCAGGAAGATATTTTCTAGTTCCATCCATTTACCTAGGAATTTCTCGAATTCATTGTTTTTAATAGCTGAGTAATACTCCATTGTGTAAATGTACCACATTTTTTGTATCCATTCCTCAGTTGAAGGACATCTGGGTTCTTTCCAGCTTCTGGCTATTATAAACAAGGCTGCTATGAACATAGTTGAGCATATGTCCTTGTTATATGTTCTAGCATCTTCTGGGTATATGCCTAGGAGTGGTATAGCTGGATCCTCAGGTAATGCTATGTCCAATTTTCTGAGGAGCCGCCAGATTGATTTCCAAAGTGGTTGCACCATCTTGCAGTCCCACCAACAATGGAGGAGTGTTCCTCTTTCTCCATACCCTCGCCAGCATCTACTATCACCTGAGTTTTTAATCTTAGCCATTCTGACTGGTGTGAGATGGAATCTCAGGGTTGTTTTGATTTGCATTTCTCTGACAACTAAGGATACTGAAGATTTCTTTAGGTGCTTCTCGGCCATTCGAGTTTCATCAGTTGAAAATTCTTTGTTAAGCTCTATACCCCATTTTCTAATAGGGTTATTTGGTTGTCTGGAGTCTAATTTCTTGAGTTCTTTGTATATATTGGATATTAGCCCTCTATCAGATGTAGAATTGGTAAAGATCTTTTCCCAATTTGTTGGTTGTCATTTTGTCCTATTGACAGTTGTCCTTTGCCTCACAGAAGCTGCAATTTTATGAAGTCCTATTTGTCAATTCTTGATCTTAAAGCATATGCCATTGGTGCTCTATTCAGGAACTTTCCCCCTGTGCCCAAGTATTCAAGGTTCTTCCCCACCTTCTCTTCTATTAGTTTCAGTGTATCTGGTTTTATGTGGAGGTCCTTTATCCACTTAGACTCGAGTTTTGTACAAGGAGATAAGAATGAATTGACTTGCATTCTTCTACATGTTGTCCTCCAGTTGAACCAGCACCATTTGTTGAAAATTCTGTCCTTTATCCAATGGACAGTTTTTGCTCCTTTGACAAAGCTCAAGTGACCATAGGTGTGTAGGTTCATTTCTGGGTCTTCTGTGCTATTCCATTGATCCTCCTGCCTGTCTCTGTACCTATACCATGTAGTTTTTATCCCTATTGCTCTGTAGTATAGCTTGAGGTCAGGGATGGTGATTCCTCCAGAAGTTCTTTTATTGTTGAGAATAGTTTTCGCTATCCTGGGTTTTTTGTTATTCCATATGAATTTGAGAATTTCCTTTTCTAACTCTGTGAAGAATTGAGTTGGGATATTAATGGGAATTGCATTGAATCTGTAGATTGCTTTTGGCAAGATGGCCATTTTAATTATATTAATCCTGCCAATCCATGAGCATGGGAGATCTTTCCATCTTCTGAGATCTTTTTTGATTTCTATCTTCAGGGATTTGAAGTTCTTGTCATACAGGTCTTTCACTTGCTTGGTTAGATTCACACCAAGGTATTTTATATTATTTGTGACTATTGTGAAGGGTGTCGTTTCCCTAATTTCCTTTTCAGTCTGTTTATTTTTCATGTAGAGGAAGGCTACTGATTTGTTTGAGTTGATGTTATAACCAGCCACTTTGCTGAGGTTGTTTATCAGGTTTAGGAGTTCTCTGGTGGAAGTTTTGGGGTCACTTTTAAGTATGCTATCATATCATCTGCAAATAGTGAGATTTTGACTTCTTCCTTTCCTATTTGTATCCCTCTGACTTCTTTTTGTTGTCTAATTGCTCTGTCTAGGACTTCCAGTACTATATTGAATAGCCAGTGGGAGAGTGGGCAGCCTTGTCTAGTCCCTAATCTTAGTGGGATTGCTTCAAGTTTCTCCCCATTTAGTTTGATGTTGGCTACTAGTTTACTGTAAATTGCTTTTACTATGTTTAGGTATGGGTCTTGAATTCCTGATCTTACCAAGACTTTTATCATGAAGGGATGTTGAATTTTGTCAAATGCTTTCTCACCATCTAATGAAATGATCATGTGTTTTTTTTCTTTGAGTTTGTTTATATAGTGGATTACATTGATGGATTTCTGAACATTGAACCATTCCTGCATTCCTGGGATAAAACCTACCTGATCATGATGGATGATTGTTT